ATGCTCATTCAAGTTGCCACGTGAAATGGAATAAATTTACCCAAAAACCACAACTGTCAGGGGCTCCTCAAGCACCCAAGACCTGGAAGAACAGCCACATTTTTTAAAGACTTTCAAATCATCATGAGGGTGGGAGCCACACAGATCTCTGGAGGGATATCATTCCAGAAAGCAAGCATCACAACAGAGAAGGTGCACTTCCTAGGTTGCATTTCAGTGTTTCTCAACCATGGCTGGCTGGGGAATTCTGGGAGTTGAAGTCCACCCATCTTAACATTGACAGGGTTAAGAAACACTGTGTTAGATGGTACTGTTTGATCCAAGAGACTCAAAGCATACCGACTCTGCAACAAACTTACCGGACAGGCAGAACCATAGGAGATAAGCAGTCCCTTTTCTTATCCTTCTTGTAAAGAAAAAGCCCTTGACATTTCTTAATGGGTTAATTGGTGGGCTGCAACTGCCAAAATTCTCACCCATGATCATGCTGGTTAGGGGATTTTGGGAACCGAAGTCCATACACACGTAGAGCATCCTGGTTGAGAAAGGCTATCATACCAAATCTGCTGAAATTCCATCTTCTAAACCTTTATTTTCTGCTCTCTTCTGAACCTCCTGTATTTGACAGCTAACATGCATGCTTTAATATTTTGAAAGGCTGAGGTTTCATGCCTGTCTGTTTAGCTCTTAGTTCTAATAATTTCTCTGCTGTCTCATCTTACGCTTTTTTAACGCCCCCTCAGAGAACCATTTCCAACCATCTCATGACCCTAAATTCCACAAAAGGGGGTTGTTTGTTCAGCCAACAGGTATTTCAACTTAATGGGAAAGAAAGAAAGCACGTAGCCAAAGATTACAGCTCTTCCCATTAACATTTTATACTTACATTTCATTCTGTTTTCACATGTTTAAATAATAGATCAACTTAGCATAACTAACATAGCTGCTTTGTAAAGTACAAAAATCTCTGCAGGCAAGGGGGTAAGAATGCCAAACTCATAAAAAAAGGATTTCTGCAAATCTTGTTTAGCCCCAGTTTGAAGCCAATAATGTGGTGGGCACTCAGCGTAGAAGGAGGGGGAAAACCTTTCAAAAGCTTTGGGTTGGAAATGGCTTTTATATTGCCTTCGGTGCCGTAATGCCTTTGCCACAGAACTCTCAGGAAAGGCTATATTTGAGTCGCTCAGCTCCCACTGTGCAGCTTTGCTCAAGAAATGCGTGCCCTGGAAACTGTCTCCTTTTTAAGTTACATTCCATGGAATCTGAGAATATCCTGGAGGATGAAAACATACATCCAAAAAATGAGCTCTCAACATTGCATTAAATGGGATACAAAGCATCTTGCATGCTGTTGCATCCTGTTTAAAGATCTCATTGATGCCAAGGTTCCTTCTGGCTCTAATGGTAATGTTGGGCGGGGGGGACATTTTCCTTGACTTTCATGGAAAATGATGTCTCCCCTGCAGCTGCCATCAAGGCATCCATCTGATGCAACAGCAAGAGGTAGAGTTTTGCGCTGCAGGGTGCAATTTAATAGCCATTGCAGGGCACTCTTAGGGAGCTGATGGAGGGAGATTTGTAACCAGCCTAAAGGTTTAAGGGGCAGCAAAGATTTATGGGAGAGTTTATACGATCTTTCTGAAGCCAATTACATTTAGTGGTGGATAAGTAAACTTGTCGTTGTTGTTCAGTCGTTAAGTCGTGTCCAACTCTTCGTGACCCCATGAACCATATCGCGCC